GTTTAATTTTTTGTGTTATTGAATATATTAATATAAATGTTTAAAAATTTACATAATAAATCAAATTTTCAGCTTTTTTTAAAAATAGTTCGATTTTTTTTAAAAAGTGCAGATTTTTTAATTTTTTATAGAAAACATGAATTTTTGAAAAAAATTTTGAAATTTTTTTTTAAACTGCAACTTTTTTAAAGAAAACTATATTTTTTTCAAAAAAAAAACTACAATTTTTTTAAAAAGCTGCATTTTTAATTAAAAACTGCAATCTTTTCAAAAAACTGCAATCTTTTAAAAAAAAACTTCAATTTTTTAAATAAAGCTGCATTTTTTTCAAAAAAAAACTACAATTTTTTTATAAAACTGCATTTTTTTTAAAAAGTAAATTTTAAAAATCAATAAATTTAAAAAAAAAAAAAGAACTACAACATTTAAAAAAAATACTCTTATTTTTTTAACAATAAAAATCAAAGTGTTAGGTGCATATATGTATATTTTTTCAAATGAATATTCGCATATTTCTTATACTATAATATTCGTAAGTAAATAATAAAAAACCTCATTTTTATTATTTAATCTATAAACATAATAGTACAAGTATTTTATTCGATACAAAATAAAATATAAAAAATATAAAATACTACAAATTTCAAAACGTTTTCATGTCTTCGTGTCAATATTTCCTTAATTTCTTCAATTTATCATTTTTTCACCTCTTCAATATGTTGGATTAGGTGTCTAAGTTCATAACTATTCCTGGAATGTACTTGACCCGATTGGCATGGTCCATTTGGGTTGCATGGCATTGCAACACTTGGATAGACTAAATGAGAGAAATGACACTTAAGGATTATTAATATATTATAAGTTCTAATATATTAATAATATTATTTAATTAGTATTGATCAAAGAATTAATTTGGAATTAATTTAGTGATCAAAAGGAGACTAATTAAATATATGGGGTTGATTGTGTAAATCATTTGTTCTTGTATAGTGGGCTAATGATCCATGGGTTGTATGGATTGGGTTAAAACCCATAAGGTGCTCCATGTATAATCCATGGAGGTTACAAACACCCATGGATCATGGAATATGGAAAGCCATGACAATTAGGGTTTACATGGTGTAACCCTACTTGTGCCACAACTATATAAAGAACCCTATGCAAGCAAAATCGGCACTATAACTACTACTTGTACAATAAAGAGGGCAAGCCGATTTTGAGGTGTAAGTGAACTTCTCTCAAGGTCATTCCAAGTGTTGTGTTGTTGTGTGAGATATTAGAGGCATCACACTTGAGGTGCTAGGCTCACACGGTTCTCAAGGAATCCAAACCACAAAAGGTATGTTCTTATTCTAGCATTTATGTTTAAAAGTTCCCCATGCTATGCTAGATAGTTGAAGAACCTTGGAAAATCAATTTTGCATGTATCTTAGTAAAATATAGATCCAAGGTTTCTAGGGTTGCATATACACCATAGGGGTGTTAGAATGCTCAAACCCCTTCACAATATTCACCACAATTTCTTCCAAACCTACAAAAAAAAAATTTTAAAAAGAAATTTTGATTGATGTAAAAACATTCACAAAAATACATATGTGATTTTCATGTGATTAACATATGCATCACATGCGATTTACATATGAATCACATTTACATATGACATCATATGTAAATCACATGTAAATCACATGCGATTCACATATGAATCACATGTGATTCATATGTGAATCACATGTGATTCAAATGTGAATCACATGTGATTTACATGTGAATCAAATGTGATTTACATGTGAATCAAATGTGATTTATATGTGATTAATATGTGATTAACATATGAATGTGTACATATAAACGTAATTCATATGTAATTCACTTGTGATTTACATGTGAATCACATATTATTCCTATATGATTTACATGTGATTAATTTGTGAATCACATGTGATTTACATGTGAATCACATATGATTTACATGTGATTTACATGTGACTCACATGTAATTCACATGTAAATATATGAATCACATCCAAATTAATACAATGGATATATATACGGCAAAAAAGATAATAATTGAGACTACACACTTGGAATCCAAATTAATGCGAGGGGATCCAAATACAATTCATAAAGCAGCTGTAGGAGAACATAAACTTGTTCATAAAAATCATTAAAAAAAACTAAGAAATTTGAAATTAATTGAGACTACACACTTGGAATCCTAATTAATGAAGCATTGCATTGACATTAGGCTTTTTTAGCATTTCCAGAATATCAAGAATAACCTTCAAACGACTTATATGAATAAGGCTTCAAATAACAATATTACAGCAATAACAAAAGTCAAAATGAGCCTATATCAGGAACCAAGGTTATCAAACAGTGGGAAATAACAATATATTACCATTTGACAAAAAAGCATGTGCATCCTACAGAATTCATTATCTACTACGTGTTTGGCTTACCTTAATCTATGGCATTCAACTTGTAGGTGAATGACCTGCTGTGAATGACCTGCATCTATATATGCATCCAATCCATCTTTAAATGAACTATCCTTATCAGAATCTGCATAATATCAACATCATCAAATTAATATTACAAAACTACTGAAAATGTTGATTATGACTTAAGAAATAAGAATGAAATTAATATAAAAAGTTACCAGTTGAAGATGAACCAGAATCAGATCTTCAATAATGATTAAAGAACGTCAATTTCTGATAATTTTGACCTAAATCATAAAATCATGCTGAAGCCCTAAATAATTAGAAATTCAGGTTTGAACGCATATCCAAACAACCCCAAGATTCAATAACAGAAAGCCTAGATGATAATTTTCAGTTCAAACTGAAAAAAATATTGATTAAACTTATGAGACCTAACATAATGTTAGTAACTCCAATGGCAACATAAGAAATTTCCAATCTAGAAGTAGCAAAACAGCGAATTGGTATTCTAATTTCATTCAAACGGTTTCAATTCGAGTATGCGGATATATTCATCAGTAGTTTTTATCAAAAAACTGAAACTATGACATCACTCTAATCGTTAATCGTCCCTAAATTTGAGCATCATTCGATTAAATGCACAATCAGTGATTTCAATCACAAAGTTTTCCAGATTCGAACAATGTGAAAAAATCGCAATCATTAAACTACAAATTATACACAAACAAAATATTAATTTATGAAAGGAATCGAGAAGAAACCTCGATGATAGATTCTAACGAATATGCCTGATAATTTCATCCATAGGAGATGTGAACCGACGGTTATTCGTATTGTTCTCTGGAGAGAAGTAAATACACGAAATCGTTCACCATAACTGATCGATCTATAACCCTATAGATCTGGCGATCGTCGCCGAGAGATGGAAAGAAAAAACATACATCACGACGGGAAATCATACAGATCTTGATGGACACTATCGCGATGTACCAGTCTCTTTATTCTCTTTCGTTTATACTCCCTTCGTCACTAGATTTCCTTTTAAGCGATTGTATTTTTGTCTCCGAAGAAGGTCATTGGGATGAAGCATGGAAATCTATGGACAAAATTCTTGCAGAGTGTAATTGAAATTGATGAAGAGATTCTAGAATGAGGAGAATCGATTTCAGAAACATAGATATTTTAAAAGCATTGAATTGAATGAAGGATTGGAGGCGATTCGCCGGAGGTGAGATGTCGGAGGATGGATCGAATGTATGAACGAGAAAAGAAAAAGGGGAGGAAAGAGAAATAGATTAATTTTTTTATCAGATATTAAATTTCTGATATGATTTAGTTATATTTGTATTTCCTATAATACTCCTAGTTCAATTAATTAAGATACCGCTCATTCTTATTTTTCTACTTATTTACAAGAACACCACATGTCGACCCTTTTTTTTTATCTAACGTTCGACTTTTAATTCTCGGGTTCTCAGGAAACTTTGAGTTCTCAAATGATCCTTCCTCTCTATCTATATCTATATCTATATCTATATCTATATCTATATCTATATATATATATATATATATATATATATATATATATATATATATATATATATATATATATATATATATATATATATATATATATATATATATATATAGAAAGAGAGGGAGAGAGAGAAATATGTTCAAACAATAATATTTTTACAGGGTGAATATTTGAGAACAATTTTCAGCCATACATTATAAAATAAATATTATTCTTTATTTACTTATTTCTTATTTCAGCTCCACCAAGGCCACCCGACTACCGTCGACCGTCAGATGTCGGACGTTGGACCACCGTCCATCCGCCGGACAACCGCCAGAATAATGTTTCTCCACTTTCTACGAATCCGATTCACATCCTCTTCTTCTATGAACCGCCTCCCATATCTAGTTTCACCATATTTGTACCCGATCTCCACAAAAAATATCACAAATCGGGAGAAATCTCCATCGGAATCAAATACTATCTCGTCGGAGGTGAGATTGGGGAAATCTGACCGCTTCATTTCTATTCCTGAAGCTTAAAAACAAGTGTCGAACCATTCAATCGATCTGATGAGGGTTCCGTATCTCGATCGACGAGTGTATATGTCGATGAACTCTACTTCATAGATAAGTGGCGACAACGAGATCGATGATAGGTATGTCGGAGGTTAGGCAACTACAAGAGATTTAAGAGTGTAGCGCCGCCCAAACCACCACATCAGCGCCGCTTCACCTTTTAGATCTGTTTGTTCGTCGTCTCCATCCGCCTCCCACCGTTAGAAACCAGATCGGCACCGCTTGAATCTCTTCAGATCTATTTGCTCGTCATCTCCATCTGCCTCCCACTGTCGGAAACCTATATCGGAAGCCACATGCCCGCCTCTTCACTTACCACCAACGTACCACCACCAGATTCACTACGTCAACCTTATCACATCACCTTTATCTACGTGCCTCCTCTGGTCATCCTTCTCACACCGGCCTCCGCCTCCGTCCCTAAACCATTCGAACGTTGAATGTCAATGGAGATTATTCTTTCACCTTCTCGATTTCACACAACTACAAAATACGTATCTGATTTTCTACACCACAGGAGATGCAGACATTCATAGAAGACATATGCATTTTATTTTTAGGTTCAAGAAAAAAAGGCTTTGATTTGTAAGTTGCTTTCTCTAACATCGTTTTTTTCTCCTCTTTTTCTTACTGCCATATGATAAAAATACAAAAGGTTGATTGAAAATTGGAAGACAAGTGAAGCTATAATAGTTAATAGCTGTAGTAGTACTAAAGCCTGCAATCGTACAAATAAATATTATTTATTAAACAAATATCATATGAGCCATTAGAATTTTGAATATAGTTTGTGCTTCGTGGTCATTTCTACTTTCCAATAAATAGTGATTTTTTAAAGGTTAACTATGTCATTATACCATGTCAAAAAAGACATGATTCATAATAAAATATCATATGCTATTTTGAATTATACAAAATATTGGTATATTAGTTATTTATATATAAATAAATTATAAATGAGCTGTAAAAAATATAATAGATTTTTTATTCGCATGTTAATAATGAATAAACTGTAACAAAAATAAAATAAACAATTTATTTACTTTTGAATGGAGAATAAACTTTTAAAAATTCTCATAAATGCTTTTATTTACATATGAATACAACATACAACATGTGATGAGAGCAATTGTTTCGGAAAAAAACATGTCACAAGAGCCAATACAAAAAAAAAATTATTGAATTTTGAAAAATTAGGTAAGTTTTTTTCGAAAAAATAATGTCTAAAAAATAAAAAATATTGCCATGATTTTTATATGATTAACATAAAAAAATATATTTACATATGAATATTCATATGTGAATAACATATAAAAATATATTATCCACATAAATCATATGTGATTAAATACATATAATCGTATGTGATTAAATATATGAAACCAACTTATTGAATAAAAAACGTAAAAATAAAAATTATCAACGTAAATCATATGTGATTAAATACATATAATCACTTGTGATTATATCTATCAAATCACTTATGATTTATGGGACAATATTCATTTACGCGTTATCAATTAAATTGTTCTTTTCTTTTATTTAATCACATGTGATAGTATGTATATAATCACATATAATTTATATGGACAAGATTCATTTTCACGTTCTCGATTCAATAATTTTTCTCGTGTATTAAATCATAGGTGATTATATGTATTTTGTCCATATAAATCATATGTGATTCGATACATTTAATTACATGCTATTATATACACGAGAAGAACTATTGAATCGAGAACGCAAAAACAAATTGTTGGGTTTAAAAGGTTGCGTCATTAGGCCTTAGTAGTTCGGTCCATTATGTACTCTCGGTTTGGGCCTGTCCAACCGTGCTTATCTTTCTAGGGTTTAGTATATAAGATGCATGCATGCATCATTGTCATTAACGCTTCCTTTATTATTTTCATATTGGTTGTACTGTAAACCCTAGCACACCTCTACAGAGGAAGTTCTTAATCGAGTTCTTCTGAGGTGTGACTATATTTTAATCATTCGACATACAGATTGATTCATCGAGTGTTCCAGTATTTGTTGTTCTTATTGTTTAACATGTTGAAGATCTAATCGATCTAAAGAGTTATCGACTCATCAATTGGTATCAGAGCGAGAGACTGTGTAATCCATACATTCTCTTCTGTTGAAGAAGATTTTAGGGTTTTCCGCTATTATTGTTTTCTGCTAGAACTGTCATTCTTCATTGACGTTGTTCTTAGACTTCGATCATACCCTAACTTTGTTTACTAGTCTGATCTTGAACAGGTTTCAAAACAAAATAATCATGTCGCTTGACGATTCACAAAGGAACCCAATCAACATCTCCAACAGTATCGGATCAACTACCATGATTCCTATCATGTATACTCAAGACTATGAAGTCTGGACGCGTCACTTTGAAGACTATGTGATTGGTTCGGAAGATAATGGATACTTAATCTGGGAAGCGATTACTATAGGTCCGTTTGTTCACTCTGGCACAAACAGAACAATCAAGACGTAAAAGGAGTACAACCAACTCGTGGTTGATGTAAAGGATGTTCATCAAGACGAGAAGGAAAAGCTTGTGAGCAACATTAAAGCACTAAGAATGATCAGATTCGCCCTGCAATCTGACACATTCCGGCTGGTCAGTTCATGCTCGACAGTGCACAAGATATGGGTTAGGTTGAAGGAGTTATATTCCACAAATGAAGATCTTGAGCATTCTATCCAAACTTTACTGCTTTCAGAGTTTGGAGACTTCAAGCAAAAACCAGAAGAGAAGCTCATTCAAGCCTTTGATCGGTTCAATCATCTTCTAAGCAAAATGATAAATCATGGCATAGAAAGGAAGGTAATTGAGCAAAAGGTCACATTCATGAATGGCTTAAGAACCGAATGGATGACGGTGGTGTCAACAGTGAAAGCTCATGAACAATTCAAAAATTACTCCTTGGCGAAGCTAGTGGGGATTCTAAAATCACACGAAAGTGCATTGACCAAAGAAACGAATGTGGTTTCAAGCATGGGATCTTTAGCTCTCATATCAAAAGGAAAGAACGTGGCTGAAGAAGAAGAGGATTTAGATCTGTCAGAATTTGATCTAACCAATGAAGAATACACTTTGATGACCTCCAATCCAAAGAAGTTCGTGCGTAGAAAGTTTCCTAACTCAAAGAACCGAAACTGGCAAGGAAGCTACAGTTCGG